ACAGGGTACATGACTCCCAGAGTCTCCCGATTTCGTTGACCGACTGACTCGGTCGCCTGCCCGACCTGGCTAATCCACATTCTCTTTCAGGAGCAACTCAAATTAAAGTGCTGATTTCTTACTTCGTCTAATTGTTGTCTCTTCTTGACGAGGGTATATACTAATTCTTCGAAACTGAATAGGTAAGATATCCGTCGTCACTTTACCAAATCGCAGGAGCTCTAGAAGGAAGTCTCTTTGACATCTCAACACTTCTAGAAGCAATAGAAGCCATCTCAATTGTCAGCATCCCATGATGAGCTCCATCAAACCGGGGACAAAAGTAAAGCACATTCATCTTCGGATTCCGCTCACGGGCCACACAATCTTACACCCTCCCCCCTGGCCACTGAGATGCAACGCGCGCTGCTGATCGGTGTTGGACGTTAGCTCTTGCTTATAAAGGCAAGAGGGAATAAAAGAGCCCCAGAAATCGCAACATGGATCGTCGAACGGTGATGACTCCATAGGGGAGTCCCGGACTGTGGGAGGCGCTAGCCGCGGGTCGAAATCCGATCACCTTGGGGGATTCTCTGCATCATCGTTTGCATAAACGTCACGTATCTACTTCCAAGAGTATAGAATAATAGCCTTTCTAGATCGTTGGTTTGAAGAGGCTCACGTAGAATGAACGAAATTGGGTAATAAGTGCTTATTAGTTAGATCATACTGCAAGGTAGTGTTAATTCGTTGGCTCGGAGAGTTTTAGACGCCGCGTATCGGAGAGCCTTCGCGAAGATCCCGAGAAGGTGAGCTAGTATAGGAGGCATAACCCAATCTAGGCACATGGGGAAGTAACACAATAGATAAAACGACAAATCACAGCCTTTGGGGTATATGTATCAAGTCACTTTTTTATATCGAAGAACATGTTGCTTTTCCATACTTGTGAGCGCTGTGACAGAAATGACTGTATGCCATATGCAGTATGCTCAAGCGAGACCCGCACCCGTAGCGATGTCGTTGTGTTGTTGGATCTATTCTCCGTGAGGCAAGCTGAGAAATTACCGAAACTGATGTAGATTGTCGGGATGTACAAATAACGGTTAGACCATCCCATCTGCGTTTCATTTTATCGGGCTTCGCGGAGTTGGTGATGACTTCTGAGTATTCTGGGACACTTTTTGTCGTGATTCGTCCTTGAGCAACAGGAGCACTACAGACCGCCCAATCTAAGCCTTTGTATATACTAGATGACAATGATAACTCAAAACATTTGTTGGTTTTACGACGGAACTAGAAGCAAACATGTGTTTATCATGCTCAGCATATTGGAGATCCACAAATGACCTTCGGCTGTACATGGCCCCCCTCCCGAAGAGTGTAAAGACCGTAAGCTACCTTGATTCGGTGAACATGGCCAGGCACAAAAACATTCTTACATCCACTTTTCTACAATGTCTTTAACCCATACGAACATCTCTCTGAAAGTTAAAGCTACAATCCCCGTCGGTCTCGTCAAAAAGGGGCTTTATTATTGACATCTCCTCATATGAAAGCTGGATTGATCATGCCGTACATGGGAATGCTTACACCAAGATAATATCAGTAGGCTCAACCACATCAAAAATTTCCTGCACTTTCGGGTTTGAGCCATCAAAAACACCAATCCTGCGAAATCGTTGCTCATCCTCCACCAGACGTAACACAAGGCCCGTCTGGACCTTGACCCCGGCGACTTTATCTTTGAAGAGAAGAAAGAAGACAAACTGTCCGTCGTATAGTTCAACTGGTTCAACCTCATCCAGGAAAATTGATGGAGGGGGCGGATTATCGGATTCCAGGAATAGCTCCGTAGGGTGCATCTCGAATTGCCCAGATGACAAGACTTGCCAAGTTGGGTTTCCGATGTAGTGCATGTGAACTCGCTTAGACAGCCTGTTTCCTCTGTGCTTATAGTCTCCAGCAGCGAGCTTACCACGGAGCCTCATCTCCCAGCTGGAGGCACGAGACATGTCGATAGATACATAGTTGACTGACACGGAAAGAAATTGAACGAGGATTTGGTCATGTTGTACGCTGTGCCCACACCTGGAGTATTCAACAGCGCCATCAATGGACATCCAAGACCAACTTGGCGCTCTCAGCGCTCTTTGTCTATTCGAAGGCTTCACTGCGACCCATAATAGCTCGAAAGGCAGAAATATCTTCCACAGTCCAACCAGGTACTCTCCAAGATGTGGTCTTAAAAGCGAGATTATACCAGCAAAAGCAGCTGCTCGATCTTCTGCTCTGGTGAAAGACATGCTGCAATATGCTTGAACGAGTCTCGCCCAGTAAGTAAATGGATGGCTAGCATTGAGTTTCCGTCTGAGGCTGAGCTCTTCATAGAGAGAAAGGTGATCTAAGTAATTGCCTACGTCTTCCAGAGGGATATCTAGGTCTCTACCTAGTATTTCGAACCCGAAAGTGTTAATATCAAGGTCAGCTGAATACGCTCGCGGGAACTCAATCCAACGAGGGGCCGATGCAGAACCTGCATAATGGGGCAAGTTTGATGCAATCTTTTCTAAAGCTGAAGACGTAAGAATAGTACGCTCCCCACCACTGCTGAAGCTTCGATATTTTGTTACCGGATGATAGTCCTCTGAGATGGATGCTGGCATTCCATTCGGGAAAATTTCCGAAGCCCGCAGTTCATCTCAGTGCCAATACAGCTGCTCACGGCAACAATGCAAAACCCGGGGCGCCAAAAGAACTTCCTGTAATACCCAGCCGCGAGTGTATAAGACATGATGTTTGAACACATCTGAATCATTGACCAGATACTCGCTCTGACCTGAAATTCCGTTGCAGGGCTCTGGTTGAATGGCGCGAGGATTCCTCATATAAAGACAGCCTTGAGAAGAATCTTTGCCATCGGTTGCGGCAATGTTACAAATGGAATTCTTATACACATTGCCCATTAGAGCCGCTTCTCGTAGCCAATCATCCCAATCGTCCTGTATGATGCATAAGGAGTCGATCCAAAGATATGAGCAACCTAAGTATTTTGCCAGTTGTGCAGCTTGTAGAAAGGTCTTTGGTAACTTCTTCGTGTTAATGTTTTGCTGAAACGCTGAAAGTGATGTTTTCACGAGTCGCAGTGGACTACCTTCACCCCAGCAATGACTTAAGGTCATATACGGAACAGCTGGAAGTTCTTCTGTTGAACAGTGAAGCCGCACTCGGATATTCTCCCCTTTAGACTGGAGAAACAAAAGTCTGGTAGGCTTAAATGCTACGTCTGTAAGACTTTTATTGCGACAGTTGGCGTGCTTTGTTCTACAATCCTGTAGCCACTTAGAGACTTGCCGCAAAGAGGTGTATGATCCCGTGTTATTTGACAAGGGTGGAGATATAATGTCACTGGCTTCCAGTGAAGCCAGCTTGAAACTACATCTTGCTCTGGAATATTCTCCTCTCGGTTCTTCGGAGATGATGGTAAACCCGATAATAGAGGCTTCCCATGACGTTGCAGGCTTCCAAAACATGATATATCCGAGGAAATCGCGTTTCAGTCCTCTTCTTTGTTCCCAAACAGTAGAACAAATGCGACAACCAGCTTTGACCGATGCGGCGAGAGAGCCAGAGGTCCAATGATGAGCACCTTGAGAATCATGCCGCTCTTTCATAGCCTTTACTACAGTGCGACTGCAAAGTACACAAAATTGAACAGGATGTTTTGAAGTCGTTAAAGGGCTTTCCGGAGAGAGATATATGTATCGGTCCTGTCGTGCAAGAAAGAGAATCATGAACTTTGTTGTGGAATGAGGCAGAGCAAAGTATCCTATTCTCGCAAAATGATCAAGAAAGGGAGGCAAGACAGCCGTAGACCTAGAGATAGTGTAGAGCCATCCAATCCAGAAGCTCAGCAAGACGTAAAGGCAAGTTGACCAGCCTGGGTTGTGTCATAAATTGGCGAGCTCGGTATTAACCGTCCAATCCTGTTTCCCCCCAACAGTAAGCTGAATCAGAATCGTGAGCAAGGCTGCCCCATAGAGAAATGCACAGTGATTCAGAAACTCATATTCGAAGACCCATAATCCGTATGCTGCAAATGCACCCCACCATGTGAGGTTGACAAGGCCGTTCATTATTTGTAGGAAAGTTCGTCGACCACGACCTCTTGTCCTGAACAGCAGAAGCCATATCATTTTGAACACTGGGACGACAAGTCTGGATTTGTTGTCGTTAATGAAAGCTTTCCTCAGGGCTGTCAAAGCCGGTCGACTTGTTTTAGGTCGGCAATACCATGCCCAGATATATGCGGCTATGATGCCACACATATGTATAGTTGTCCGCAACATAGTCTGAGAAGAACTGCAACATGGCGGCATGCGTTAAGCTAAAAAAAGAAAAAGAAAAGGCGTGAGTTGCAGAAATGCACTTGGTGATTCATGGAGAAAAATGTAGGGTGAAGGTGCCGATAGGCGTTTTTGATGCCAAGCCAAGATCAATAGTTTGAGCTGTAATTCAGCCTTATCGTGTAGCTCAGCTCAACTGGCTCATCAGAGCGTGGCTGTGGTAACGCGAGCTGAATGAGGGGTATTTGAGCAATGCAGTTGAGAATTGGGAACTATGATAGTAAGATGTCCTCTTCGGATTTAATAGAGACTGAATCTAGGGTGAAAATGAACATTTACAGATAGATTCTAGCACATACTGGCTTTCATCACATGGAGAGGCTGAGGTGGTCATTATGCCAATTATACGAAGGAGCTGGAGGACAATAGGAAATGGCCCCCAACAGCAGCACCTTAGGCTCGTAGCCCTAAAGATGCCCTCATTGATACTACTTAGTCCTACGATTCTTGCTTAATAGCACGTATGTTGTCAATCTCTTCAAAGCGGATGGCACAACACAAGAGAAAGTCAACACTTTGAGACAGGCAACGACATCGCCCAAACTCTTTGCACTCAGAAGACGGCGTGTGAAATTTTCATAGTCCAAAATTAGTCGCAGAACCGTCAAGAAACAAGTCTTCGTGGCGCAGTTGGCTAGCGCGTCAGTCTCATATTCTCAATATGATCCAAATAACCAGTTTGGGCCATCTGAAGGTCGTGAGTTCGAGCCTCACCGAGGACATTCTTTTTGCCATTTCTTTTTCTAAATCAATGGGTTTTATTGACTATTTTGCCTCCAAGTAAAGCAATAACCATTTATACTCAAAGGCAAAGTTGCTCTTCAGCGTCCCACATCACCTACCTACCCTACTACTGCTTCCGATTTTGTGAAAAAGAAAGCAATGGCCATCCATCCATGCCCCACAACTCCCATATACTTCGTAGAATCTTCGCTGGAGTTGTAAAATGAAGAGATATTAGCTCGTTCTCGCTCCAGTTCAGCCAGTAATGCAGAGGTTTCTTTGAAACAGTTCATGACGGTAGCCAGAGTGCTTGGAAGGACTCGATTCGGCCTTGACACCTCGTGGAACCCGGCCGCCGGCGTCAGAGACCATTGGTGGGTGATCTATACGTGGACGCCTATTTCGAAAGGACTTGCTACTAAAGCATAGTTTAGTACACTATTTACTTATTGCTTGAGATAAGAGGCCTGAGAGGCTCGATGTTTCTTATTTGCAGCTTCAGATAGGTCTTCTAGAAATTTGATCGTCGAACAAAGGCGCTGGCTTATCTCTGTACGGATGCAGCTCAAACTCACCTTAGATGAGGACCCGCCGCCAGGCGTGAATCTTTTGGCGTAATACTTTGCTTTATCCTTCAGGGAAGGAGCTGGGATTTCGGGCTGGGTTCTGGCGTAGCATCTGTCGCACATGACATCTGAGATGTTGTCGGGACCCTGCTCACGCTCGCCACATGTTTGATGAGCATGAGCAACTTTTCTGCAGGGCACTACGTTGCATTGCATGGTACGATAGCATATAAGGCACCGGGTAACGATGATAAAGCACATTGTTGATTGAACGACTCCTTGGATACACTAATTTGTCGAGATGCGAGATTTGTCTCTGGGGAGTGATATTTCGAAGCGTTGGAATTGCGAATTTTGGTTCTCCTAAGAAGCTTCTATCAATAAAAAACGACGGACGTCCATGATTTTATAGCATCTTGGCTGAGGGAAGCTTGAATGTGAATAAAGGAGAATCAGCTGTTTTGTGCATCATGGCTCGATGCTTTGGTGTCGCTGAGAGTCGCAACTTTCTTTTTTTTGTGCCACATTGTGATTCAAGGCTCCTAGATACTCACATTTTCTAGCAGGAGACATTTTGATACAACTGAATGGATGCCAAGTAGTCCCCATTGCGGGGTTATTGTGATTGCAATACCGACACCTGACGTTTGACAACGAGATGTCGCGAAGAGAGTGAGTGGACTGTCAGTATGCAGTGGACGTTACACTGGGCAGTGTGATTGGAGAATAAACCACTGAACAAGAACTTGCAGCGTGGCCTCCGGCTGAGCGATAGCAGAATAACGATTGTACATTTGGGAATTGGTCACTAACTAAAGATGTCCGTTGTTGTGTGCTGTTGATGCTACAAGAAACATATCCCATACAAGACACAAGATCTACAGCAATCTACATGATTTTGTACGATGTATTAGAATACGCACTGAATAGCAGTGGCCATGAGAGACGTTATAATTCCCAGCTCATAATACCATACGGTGAGTTGACATGGGTTGAATCATGAGACGATCCATCGAGAGGGCACAAACTCCAACTAGACAAGTTCTTTACATGAATACATAGTAAAAACTCGCAGAAATTTATATCGTTTCAAAAGAAATAGATAGTAGATAAACCCAGATTTGTGGTATTATGTATATACTTGTTCTTTTTTTTTTTTTTTTTTCACAATAAGCTCATTCAAGCCGGTGGAGTATGCTACAGAAGTCGCCTTAACCCCTACCAATGTATAGTTATGTGAACGGAAGAGTACTGTCATAAATAAGTTCACATCGATATATATTCGAAGGTTTACTACAGTTATATAAATTTGATGCTCAGATACATATCATGGAATTTTTATAGGTCAGACATAGAATAATAATATTCGTTACGGACAACTTCAGTACATCAACTTTGCACTCCAATGAGGTTTTCTTGAAGAAAAGCTAGCATAGAGATAAGAAAACCTACAAAGCTTTGGCATCACAGTAGGCGTTATATCGAAAGAGAGCGTTTACGAAGAACATACGTCGCAAATAAATCTTGCTTCTTTTATGAGCTCGCTCTTAAAATAACATATCAATAGTATAAATAAGCATGGATTTTGGCAATCAAGCTTACATATTTGGGAAACTTTTCTTCGTATATGACTGCTTATCTGTATCTGCGAGATAATTACTACACCCTAAATCGACTTTGGAGAAAATTTCGGAAAGGCAGAGACCACAAGTAGTCTAACCGCTTGCTTTTGGATATCATCCCACTTACAAGTACATACCTATTACCAAGGGCACAGAAGATGTCACTAAAGCTGTAACCAGACAAAGTCAGTGAGACAGAGTGTCGGAGCTTCAGAGTATGCCACATAACCATGTGATTAGATGTCGGAGTCCCAATTGTAGTTGGCTCTGAATAGATGGCCTATGGCAGATTGCCAGTTACACATGTAAGGAAGGTATGGCTGAATCATCTAGTGCATCTTATTTTGATGCCAGTTTTGGATCGATCTTGTTTAAGGCATTGTTGTCTGAATCAGAAGTCTAGTTCATAGGGTCAGACATAAATATTTCAAAATGTGGAGTATACATATGTTGCAGTATTTGGCAGTAATTGCCAAACCCTGAAGCTTGAATGTGATTTCCAACAGTCTATATACCGATCTGATGGTGTCACTCTTTAACAGCAAGGCTCTATGCCGCAGGGCTCATGGGATATCATCTGGATGGCAAAAAATAAAAATGACCATATATTCCCTATATTGCCTCAGCGATATATACGAGACTGTCATGGAAGATGTAGAATGTTCTATAGCACGTGAGAGGAACACCCTTATTGCGCAAGTTGATACCGAGTGTGGTTCCTTAACAGATCAGCCCAATATAGAGTCATATTCTGCAGCCTACTTCTAAAATGATATGTCAGCTCGTACTTTGTTTATGCAGTGGATGTGCTGATGATGACTGGTAGAAGAGAACTTCTGGATGTAATTGGGCGCCTTGTGGTACGTATTACCTTGTAGATGAATCCCGAGTGTAACTCTGATTAGGCTAAAATAATCAATTACAGCTCTTCCATCCAAGAGGATACATTCCTTTCCGGCAGCTTACGAAGCAATTTGAACATTATGAAAGTGGAATCTGTTCGCGTCGGCAATACTTCTTGCAGCACCTAGGCTCTCGAACTATGTGTGTGGGGGGCCTCTAGTAAGACGAGCCGCATGTATTTGTCGATCCTTGAAGGCGTCACTAGGATCGGAGCTTTCTTCAGCTGTCAGTTGTGTGTGGGCCCTCATCATCTGCCATAAGACGCTGACAGCGACGTATCTGAGACGACAAATATCTCACGCAAGCTTGGCCTCAGCTATCAGCCGCCACGGAAAGCTGGCATGTGTTATGTAGCTTCTCCGATTTCGGTAGCGATATTTTTTGCAGTCTCACCACATCATCAAGCTCGCACTTTCTTTGAGCCGACAGATGTTACACACCTTTGAAGGCGGTTTTGTGTCAGTGCGGGCGCTTATTTTCATTGGTCTTGGTCTACTTTCTTCGCAGTACCGTAGATGTTGCACAGTCGGCAATTTGTGGTGATTGGCATAGGAGCCTTGGCCCTCTTGTCATCGACTATCTCTATGCTCTAGTTTTACGTATCGAAATTATAATTCTCTCACCGGTTCACAGTGTTCAATCGGCAAACCATATGATTGAAAGTCGAAGTTGATTGTCTTTCAAAAATTGCTTCCAATATACGCGGCGATAATGTTCAGCATCTTACACCCGCACATAATTTCCACGAAGTAAAGATGAACCAACCATCTTAATATAACTGACCATCGATTCCTATTCTAGAACCGGAATCTCCTGTTTTACCAGTATAAAGTGGCATGCTGGTTCTAATCATCATACAGTATGTGTATTTCGTAGGTTTCTCTTAGATAGAAGCTTATACAATCTACATGTAATCTTGCTACATATCCCTAGATATCAGAATATGGAGCCGAGTCAACATGTGTATTTGCTTGCACATACTTCTACACTAAACAAAGGACCCAGTTCGGCGAGGTCGCTGAATTGAAAAATGCACCGTACATTCACCTATTTTGGCACAATCTTCAAGAGTGGCGCTGGATCACTGATTGCGATTGTCTAAGATTCAAGCACGATTCTGCAGCATAGGTGGTGCTACCCTGAAACCCAAGACACTCCCGATGCAGCAAATTGTGTGTCGGTATTTGACCCAGATCTCATGTGGCGTAGATGCAGCAGTGAGAAGTATGGTATAAGGTGGGCAGCTTATGTGACTAATCATTCAGGTGGCAGCTTTAATATTTGCTCGATAAATCCATTGTTGCATTGAGGTAAAGTGTTCGCATATATTTGATCATGAATGAGAGTTGTTGAAGTGTGAGATGATTCATGGTAAATATTTGACTTAGACATAATTCAGTATACAACGGAGAGTACATGTTAGCAGTCACCCCTACGGGCGCCACCGTTGATCGTTGATGCTTCTGGATTCAATGAATAATCCAGAAATTGCACATTTCCAATATAAAATGGTAATCAGCAGTGTATTTCCAATAGCTCTACCCGTGATACTTGTTAAGATCCTCAAAGTTTGCGGCTCGATTACTTAGATTTGTATCACCTAATCAATAGTATTGTCAAATATGATCAGCAGGGATAGCTCTGTAGTCAGCTACAAATTGAAATATGCCATGTCACCGAGCAGTCTAAAAAGCATTTACGGATGCAGCAGCATCATATCAAATACTATGGAGTGCATATTCCCCCGAGTTAGCTCTGTCCATCAAATATTAGTAGAGGTCGGTTCTAGTGGGCTTATAAGGCGATGGTAAAATTTTGAAACAGGATGGCGTATTTTGGTGTAGTCTCTGGTACACCGGATGGAGAATCCGCCTTCTTATTCTCCGATAGTAGCTTACAATTCTATGT